CTTTTAAGCTTTAGCCATGTATTTGTTGAATACAAGCAATAAACCAGATTATTTGCAGGTGTCTTGCATGTTCCTTTAATGGATACAGGCCAATGTGGAATGATTCAGACACCGTAAGGCAGCAATGCTCTCTTGACCATTAGTGTGTGCATAAAGAAGTGACAAAACTGGCAGTCGTGATCTATAAGGTTATTATATGCACAAGCCCGTTCTGCGTGCGAGCTGAAGTTACTGTGTGTGTCAGCGGACATCACTGGGGTCCTCTGGAAGCGCAAGGATGCTTCCCACAGCCAGATCTCTTGCCAGAGTTTAAATGCAGTTCATGTAAAAACCTAGACTTTGTGGAGGTTGATGCTATTTTAGAAAAGGCTTTTACGTGTCACATGCATGAGAACTTAACAGGCTTTTCTTCGAGTCCTGACTGAAACAAAAGCACAGATGTCACATCGTTCAGATTCCTTTAGTTGGCAGTGAAACTAGCAGAAATCAGATCCTCTGTAAGCAGTGGCTGGGAAGGGAAAGGTGAAAAGCAGTTGCTCGTTAAGGAATAACTGCGTGAATGCCTTCTTTGGGGGCCATAAGGAATTTTGGGCAGGGGTACTTCAAACTGATTGTGCACTGCTTGTCTAGCTGGCAGCTGCATATAACCTTTGAGCAAAGTCCAAGAATCGGGTTTTGGTAGGAGTCCTCAGCTTTCTAGTCCAGGCAGTGTGGGACGAAGGTTATTGTTTCCTATGGACATTACCCAGGCAAGTGGAGCCCTCGTACGGCTTGTAGCTACCCATAAAATGCTGATGACCAGTGTGCAGAGCTGATCTTTGAATCTGAGGTGACTAAAAATTGTGTAGAAGATAAGGAAAAAACAACCATATAGTCAGAGTTGGCCTGTCAGTTCTAGCGTTCTCTTTTTTTTTCTTTTTTTTTTTCTTTTTTTTTTCCCCTAAACTGGAAAAGTTTATTCCCCTGTACTGGGAAAGTTTCAGTTTGAGGCCAGAAAAAAAAATACTTGACGGGGGAAAAAAAGCCCAAGTATTTTTTTTAATTTTTATTTTTAATCTTTCACCACAGTATCTGATACCAGTCAGTGTCAAGGATGGGTTATTGAATTAGAATTATCAAATTTGGTACTTGATGGGGTGAGGCAAATTTTCATTTTAAAATTAATCTATCATTAGATGTTCTTTGGAAAGGTTTAATTATTCTAGTTCTAAGAATCTACACAACGTAGCTCTTCACTTAGAGAAGTTATTCTGTGCTTTAGAAGTACTTTCACCTCCCGTCTCTTGTGACATCCTCATTATAAAAGGTAGCTTGGATACCACACAGACTTGATCAAAGGCTTGCAGATTTGAATTGTTCCTTTTCCTCTTACCCCAAGGGGTAAGACTTACTAGAAAGTTTGTTGCATTTGTTTTCCACTGGTTTTCTCTTTTGTATTTTAGCAAGAAAGATAAATAAAATTCTGTCTTCCCTTTTAACTAAAGTTGAGCTATTTTAAATGAATTACATTGCCTTACAGCGCATACCATGGCAGGGTAAGGTATTTGTTGCCTGATGACTACAGGATTAAAGGTTATAGGGTGCTCTGGCTTCTGTATTGCACACTTAAAACAATCATAGGCTGTTGGAGCTCCCCTTCTAGAAATAGCCCTTAAACGTGCAGAAGGCTTGGGACATGTTCTTGTTTACAAGTGTGGGTTTTTAATGTGATGAAAGAAGAGCGATAATAGGATAATAAAAACTCAGCAGTAATTTCATCTCTTGTGGTCCTGTAGTTGGCCTTCAAAGAGTTGTCCAGTCACTGAGGATGTGGAGTGTCTCGTCCACATTGGCAAGCTTCTGCGGAAACATTCTTGAAATATAAAGAAAGGGCTTTGGCACTTCTTCACTAAGAATAAACTTGTATTTGACCAGTAAAAATATACTTATTTGAGAAGATGATCATGTCTGAACAGTGTGATTTATTGCATCTTTATATATTACTTTATAAATGCTATACCGAGCAGTGTCACTGCTGCTTGACTTTTGGCAAATTCAGGTTCTTCTAAAAAAAGTTTTATGTTGTTACTATCACTTAGGGAGCTCCAAGCACAGGAAGATCTCATGTGCATATATAGGATGTAAATTTTATCATAAAAGTGATTTAGGCTGCAATTTTTTGATCTAATAAATTGCATGTTGTCACGTAAAAGGAGAATGCAAAAGCCACTGTCTTTTGTGGTCTTGGGCATCTGTGGTGAAGCCCTTATAAACCCGTTCCTTGACTTTTTGTTGTATGTCATTGCTTTTAGAATTTACCTTTGTAAGAGTAGGGCAGAGCAAAACAAACCTCTTGAGGTTTTACAGAATACTCGCTGTGAAAAGGGCTGTGCATACTTAGGCATACATGTTAAACAAACAAACAACTAGTGACTAAAGGCACTCACTTTGTCAAGAAAAGGAAAGCCCAGGTCCCGAATTTGACTCTAGTGCAGCTGAGTCTGTGGTGATGCAGCAGTCTGACTGTGTGGAACTGATTTGAGGAAGTTGGTAATTGATACAGAAAATCAGCCTTGAGACTTTCGTTTTCATTTGGGATTTCATTCAATGGTTTGTTTTAATATGTGTGAGTTTACAATATATTTTAAAAACTGGAACTAAAAATGCATTAATCATTTCACACGGCTTTTTCAGTGTAAGTGATTTTTGTGAAAGTCTGAGCTGAGTGTTGTAAGGTCAGGAATATCTGCAGTGAAACTCGAAGTGTGCACAAGTTGTCAGCAGTGGGTCTTTGTGGGACCTGCTCTGATGGCTTGACCTTTACCTGGAACAACTTCTGAAAATCTCAGTTTGAGAAACAAGTTTGTTGCAAAAGGTCCAATGTGAGAAACTTAGTCAAGAGACTGAAATAAAGCAACAACAGATTGTAACTTTGAAAGTAGTATAGCCTAACTAATATCACTGTGTTTAAGGCTGCAGTGCATGCTAAAATTTTTGCTTCAGCCAAGTATTATAGATACAGTTTTGGTTTGAGGATGATTTTTTTTAAAAAAGTATCTTAAATTAGAGGGTGTTGGTTGGTTTAGTGTATTGAGTGGGTATCAGTTTATGCCAAATGTGATGCTCTTATGTTTTTTTTTAAAGGTGTAACTGTGAAGCTGGTAACTTAACTACTCGTATGAATAATAGTGATCATGTTCACTTTCATCAAGCATCAGAAAACTGACTTTGACTTTTGGGGCAGATGAATTTGTGTTCTGAAGCATTAGTTGTTTTTTCTAATGATAACGTGATTGGACACTAATTATCCTTTGGAAAGAAGACCTTGAGATCATACTGCTCCTAAACCATTCGTTCTTTGGCTGAGAATAGTTTATCACATCTAGAGATTTTTTGGCCTTTTTTCCCTATACTCCCTGAGAAGGAGCCATACACTTGGAAATTACAATAATGAACAGATTATACAAGTTTTGGTTAGGATGCAAGGTAAACTACAAATGAAATATTAGTGCCATGTAAGAAATCCAATCCTGACTTAAAAGTCAGAACTTTTATTTACCTAATAGTAACATTAGTAATCTTTTTGCTTTGAACTTTAGAGCTGAATTTGGATTTAGTGCAAGAGCTGTATGATTGCTTTCTCCTGATCAGCAGCTAGTTTTGTGTAACTAATACCCTTGAAATACTGAGTGTGCTTTTCCTCATCAAAATATCCTTGGGAGTTGCTCCACACTGATAAATTACTGGCTGCAAGTTCTCCATTCTGTTTTGCACTAGAGCAGAGGGGGATGTCTCTTGGTTTGGGCAGGAGGCCTGAAATTCCAGAGCTCTCACCTTCTCTACTCACTCCCCTGGCTGCCTCTGGCAAAATTACTGAACTTTTTTTTTTTTTTAGCTTCAGTTGCTGCACCTGTGAAATGGAGACAATGCCTCCTCACAGGAATGTTCTGCAAATTATGTAGGTGGAGTTGAGCACCTTCAAAGTGAAAAATATCTGGGGAAAAGAAAAAAGTTTTACAAGGGCATGTAGTGATAGAACAAGGGGCTATGGACTTAAACTGAAAGAGGGGAGATTTAGATTGGATATAAGAAATTTTTCACTCTTAGGGTAGTGAGGCACTGGAACAGGTTGCCCAGAGAAGTTGTAGATGCCCCATCCCTGGAAGTGTTCAAGGCCAGGTTGGATGAGGCATTGGGCAACCTGGTGTAGTGGAACGTGTCCCTGCCCATGGCAGGGGGATTGGAACTGGATGGTCTTTGAGGTCCCTTCCAAGCCAAACCATTCCATGATTCTGTGATTTTTGTGTGTAGCTCCCTGAAATGGATGACCCAGCCTAGTTCCTTGCTGCTGTTAAGAGGCACATCAAGAGATCCTGTTCCTGGCAGCGTGCTCTTGCGCCTGGTCCTGCACTAGCTGGTGTTTCGGTTAGCTGGGTCAGTGGGACTAAATGAATGCCAGCCTCTTGTTCGGTGGGGTAGCTGTTGAACGGCCTCTTCTGCCACATCTGTTGAGGCACTTATGCTGTCAAATATTTTGATAGCCATGGGCTTTATTTAGGCATCTCAATTGCCCTTTTTCAGGAGGTGTAACGTTCTATTGAGGAGGATGCTTTTGTTTTTTTTTCTTTTTAAAAAATAAAATTGGTTTAAATAGAAAGGTGTCCCATCTTACAGCTGTATGTGAATTTGCCCTTCATCTCTCCTCCAAATATGCAATAAGATTTCTCATTTTTATTTCTTTGATTGCTTTGCCAGCATGATTTTTGTGATGATTTAACTCAGTTTAACAATGTAAAGTACTTAGAATGAAGGTAAGTTTAAATTTTTTTTCTTTTTAAAAAATAAAAAGGAAAGAAATGTTGTTTTGAGTGTCTAACTGCCCCAGCAGTTTGAGAAAGTCTAATTGCTTGGTAAATTTGTAAAAGATACTGATGTAAAAATATTAACAGTACTGTTGGTTTTTTTTGTGTGTCCAGCAAAACATTTCTAGTTACGATATTGTCTGTTTTTACTAGAACAAGTTGAAATCATCACAGAAGGATAAAGTGCGTCAGTTTATGGTCTTCACACAATCTAGTGAAAAGACAGCAGTGAGTTGTCTGTCTCAAAATGACTGGAAATTAGATGTTGCAACAGACAACTTTTTTCAAAATCCTGAACTTTATATACGAGAGAGTGTTAAAGGATCATTGGACAGAAAGAAGTTAGAACAACTATATAACAGATACAAAGGTGAGTACCCTGAGTTTCCAGGCTTACTTCCTAGTTGGATGTGTGTATTCTTAAATACAACGTGTCATTGCAGCTGTGCTCTTGTGCTTGGAAATCTTAACCAGCTCTTTCAGCTTTCTTTTTCTACTACTAGTAACACAAGTTAGAAGGGGAGTATAGGTAGGCTTCTGCTTCACAAGGATTGCACGTGCTTGCTTTGTGCTCTAAATATATATATGTTTATAGAAGATTCGGGTCTGGAACTGGAATTGTTTGTACAGTAAGTAACTGCAATGGTTAATGTGGATTTTAAGTGATTCTTCTGGGGAAAGCACATCACTCAGGACTCACTTCTTGACAAAGTGAAAGGTTGCCTACCAAAGATAGATTCTACCTTAATTTTTATTCACCTTGTGCTTATTGTCAGATAGCTACAAACAGAGCAGAAAATAAAAGTCTCTTTATCTGTTACATAGTCAGTGTTTAACTGATGATATCCTACCACAAATAGTAAAGTGGATTCAATACAGTAGAACAAATTCTGTGTTTTAACGCTTCAAAAAAATCTAAAAACGAGTGCTACATTTTTCTGTCAGTTTCCATATGCATGCATAATCCAAATACCATTTTCCTGAAGTCTTTGTTGGCTTACGCTAGTAGATCTTTGTTAGCGCACTTGAAACGTGAACATCTCGCTTCCAGACCAGATGTTCGTTTCCTCGTGGAAAGAGGAGTGTGCCTGGCTGAGTCGGAAACGGTAATGGGGCAATGTGACTTTCCTCTTAGAGGTTACCATGTCCAACCTCATGCATGCTGGTGATAACAGAAAACGCACAAAACTAATGTTGACTTAGTAGTTTATAGGCAGATTTAATAATGGAATCAGTACCACTTGCAGAAGGACACTGCGGAATTGTTTATAACGGTAAGCAGTCGGCAGTCCTGCCAAAGATGCCAGTAATGAAGTGAGCTGGTGGGAAAGGACCGCTGTCCTCTGTATGGAACGAGTCACAATAGCAGCCATATTATTAGGCAGAAAACAAATGTTTGTGGTGCTTTTGTGTCTCATTGAAAACAATGAGCTTCATTGTATGGACGCCTTTATTGTAATAACTTCCTCAGTTGTTAAAGCTTAACCATTGAAAATACTAATTTAATTTTGTTTTTGAAATGTTCACTTATAAGAGCTGATCCCAAAAGGACTTCTTGAAAATGTTTGCTTATTTTAAATACTTGTGTCGAATATATTCAGCTTTTTCAAAAAATCTGTTTTTCTTGATACTTACTTTTGTATCCCAAAGATCCTCAAGATGAAAATAAAATTGGTATAGATGGTATACAGCAGTTTTGTGATGATTTAGCTCTCGACCCAGCCAGCATTACTGTACTCATCATTGCATGGAAATTCCGAGCTGCAACACAGTGTGAATTTTCAAAGCTGGAATTCATGGATGGAATGACTGAGCTAGGGTAAGTGCGCAGCAAGTATTAAACACTGACAGTGTAATCCAGTATCAGAAACTGTAATGTATGGTAAAACAGCCCTGTTTTGAGGAATTCACCATCAGATTGTCCTTTCAGACTTCAGAGACTTTTTGGAGTCCAGCATCACTTGTCTGCCTCTGTAACAGTACGTCTGCTGTCTGTGTGCTAGATGCTTAGTGACCAAAAAAAGAGAGGCAGCTTTGAGTGCTCCTTGTCTTGATGGTGTGCTTCAGTGAGTTGCCATAGAGCTACTGAAATAGGTAAAGCAAGGATGCTGGTCTGCAGTCCAGCATACCTCGTTTTTCTCTGCCTTAAGAGAATGTAGTTGTCTTCATCACATTTTTCTAAAAATCTTGTGGATTATAGAATCTGATTTATCAGCTAGTATGTGCAAATGGCAATGTGAAGAGGTACAAAAATTTAATTTCTTTGTTGTTATAGGTGCAAACTAATGAAAGGCTTCCTGAATTTTGTTTTGATAGTCATATTGTATTCCACAAAAAATTATAAATTTTTGTTTTAAGTTATAACTCATATTTTATGGCAAAATGAATAATACACAGATAAACTTGCTTTTTAAAATGCAGATGTGACAGCATAGAAAAATTGAAGGCCCAGATTCCTAAAATGGAACAAGAATTAAAAGAGCCAGGAAGATTTAAGGATTTTTATCAGTTTACTTTCAACTTTGCAAAGAATCCAGGACAGAAGGGTTTAGGTATGTATTCTTAATCATAAACATTTATTTGTAAATATGAGAAAAGACTGATTAAAGCAGAAAATGAAAATATTTTGATCCAATGAGTCTGAAAGATAGCCACCCTTGGGATAAAATATATCTCTGTTGTGAAAGATAGCTGTCAATTGAAAGTGTTCACATTGATAGAAATATCTGCATCATTAGTGTAGACTGCAAAACGTTATGAGAGGGGGTTTATCCTTTCACTAAGAGTGTGCAGTTCTCAGTACGCACAGTGGATTATGGTCTTACATTAAAGGCATAATTATACCACTTAGAATTTGCAGCACTGAACAGATTAATTGAACTTTCACTTTTAGGATAAATTGAAGCTGTAAAACTGATTTCCATGTAAGTACACTTGTACAGTCTCCTGTAACAACAAAAATGCCTGCAAATGTCTTGGCAAAATAGAATTGGAATAGTACAAATAGATTTCTATGTCCAGGGCTTAATGCCTGTTGTTGTGCTGTTGGTAATAGGTGCCTATCTACAGCCTTTTCTTTTGCCCTTTTTTTTTTTTCTTCTCAGCTCACTGAATGCGTGTTTTCATTATTTCAGAGCTCTTGTGCTGATTGTGGTTTTGATTAGTGTAACAGGTGAAATGGAAGAATCACTTACTAAAAATAATTTCTTTTTGGAAAACAAACATCAATACCAAATACGTGACAAACCACCACAGTTAGGGTGGAACTAAATGAACAAACTGTAGATCTGTCTATTCAAAACAGCAAAAAAGAGGGAACAAAAATTTCTTTCAAGCAGTAATATTAACCAACCAGAATGCATATTCATTTATATACAGTGGAGCTGAGATATTGATCATAACTAGTATTTAATGACTCTGTAACTGTTAACTTAACTGTTCTACTTTTGAGAAGAAATAAAATACTGAAAGGCCAGTAGGTTCTTCGTTGGCAGCTTGTGAATTTATTTTTCTTAGTGATGAAAACGCCTTAAACCGACTGCCACTGACCAGCTTTGCATTGATGCGCTGTGAAAAGATGAGCAATCTGCTTTGGTTTTGTTGTCTTTTATATGTTGGACCCACTTCTGGCTTAAAGTGAATATCAAAAAATAAGTAAATAAGAAAAAGCTCCATCTCTTAGTTTCCACTCCGTGTCATTCTTGAACATCTTTCTGTATCCTGTTTTTCACTTCCATTGGATTGTGAATTTCATTGTCTTTGAAGAAGCTAAAAGAGCCCTGCTAAACTTGTGCATGCATGTAGTAGGATCTGAATCCTGGAAATACATGAATGGGTTGATTCTTATTTCTTGTAGAAAGTCATGTTATTTTTTTTAAACTGCTGTAGCAAGGAGAACGTGGACAGTAGTTGAATTGTGAGAGGGTTGAAGTTAGGTTATGGTGAGTGTTAATGCAGAATCAGTCTGCAGTGTGAATGGTTGCAGGGTTTTGTTGGGGTTGTTTTTATGGTTATCATTGTAACATTTGTGCGTTGTTTTTAATCTTGGAGCAGCTTTACACAACAAGGAGTACTTTGCAGAATCCCTGTAAGGTGGCAAAGGTGAAAAGACAAATCGCAATGATATCCTAATTACATGATCATTTTTAATTATATTTTCTCAAAGCTTCAGAATAACAAAACTGTTTGATGTAGTACTTGCCTCTTCTTTTCTTCTCCGTATTTCTAAGGTATAAGGAAGACTTGCATTCTTCTTCTGAATTTTTTTTTCCCCTAGTCCTATATGGAAATGAATCTTTTGAGTATCCTACATGGAGCAGACCTCAGTAAAAATTATTTACCGGGAAAACTAAGTCCCTTGCTTTATTTCTCATTCATCTTAAAGCTCCTTTATGCAGGGTAAGCTCTAACAGTGACAAAGTATAGTTTTCTCAGATTCATATAGCATTTATGTAGGTAGGTTTGTGGTTTCTTGTTTTTTGGTTTGGGATTTTTTTTTTTTTTGGTGTGTGTGGTTTGCTTTTTTTTTTCCCAAGTCTGGGTCTGGAAGTGATAATCTTAAAATCTAGATGCTTACCAACCTTTTTGGTGCCAATAACTACCCGGTTCTAGGCATGAATTTATGATAGGGCAGAATAATTCTGGAAACCTTGAAGCAAAAGAATATTGGGAGAATCACAGTACTGAAAAGTAAGTGCTCCTAGTTAGGCAGTTAATTTTGGAGTGTCTAAATAACTGCTTGTAGGAACTTGCAAATTGATTTTAATGTATATTGGTCTCTAATCTTCCAAACATTGTGTAGTAGTTCTGGAAACGCATTTCCTCTACATAATTCCTTACTGCCATGTAAGTACTGTGGATGTCTTAAAAGTTCTTGTGATATTTGCATATCATTTGAGAATACCTTTTAGCTGATGTTCATCTCAAACATTAATTGCTTCTCTTGCGTCTCTCTGGTTAAAACTCAGAATGGAGCATATATTTTGAGACTTCCATGTTTGATCCATGAGGTCTTTCCTGAGCACGCTTTCTTATGAAAACCTAAAACTGTTATCTTTACTTTCAAATTTTGTGATTTCATAAAATTTCTTTTAAAACGTGGTATATCCTAAGGCAATTTGTCTTCGTGCTTTACATGTCTGGACTCACATAATGACTTTGAGGTTGCAGCATCCAGAGATTTGTTTTTTAAAGGCCTTTGCTTACCCGCAAGAATAATCTCAACCTGGAATGAGCATGTCAAAATGCACAGTTTGTTTGTAGTGTTTGTTTATAAACTGCTATAAATATGCAGTGATTTGATGACCTTGCATTTTTTGGTATGCCTGCTAGTAATGCATCACGAGTAACTAAAACTGATTTTAATCTGTTTCCTTGAAGAACTGATCAGCTTAATCTGAAGTTTGTATCTATTCACTTTTAGACAGTAGTTGTAGTTGAAAGCTGAAGTGCATGTTTTTGTTGCTGAATCCTCTGTTGAAGAGAGGTATCTGGCCTCTACGCTCATTTTAATCAGTTGTCATTTTCACATATAGCTTATTTACTGTGGAGTAGTGACTTCTGTTTAGTTAGTCTCTGCTTCTTGAAACTCGAACACACACTTTTGTCTGAAATCACACCCCTTTGCAGGTGCTGGAAAACCCTCCACAAATTTTGTTCTTTACTTTGGTCAGGAAGCATTATTTCGAGAAGGACTTTAAGTATCAAAGATACCAAGCAATTCATAAACTCCCCCCATCACCATGGATTTGCCCTCCATCAGTGCAGAGTCCATGCTTTTTTTTGGTTTTGTTTACTATTGATTTCACCTCTAAGATCCACCTCCCTACGTTTTTAAATAGTTTGGGCATCTGGGTGAAGGGAGTGGTTTTCTTAAGTTGTGTCAGGTTTTTTCTTTTTTTTTCCTGAGGTGCAGTTGATCATGTACCTCTTCTCTCTGCTCTCACAGGAGGATTGTTTATGGAAGAAGAGATTTGCTAGACTGGAAAATATATAAGAGCTTTTGTTAAAAAAGAGGCCACTTAACTAGGTAGCCTTTTGGGGTTACTGTACGTACTTGGTGATGGACACTGAGTTCAGTGAGATCACAGGTAGCAGCATTTTGTTACGAGTCCAGAGGTCCTTGTTCATCCTGGTAATGGAGCTCACGCTAGGTAGAGATTTAGAGCTCAGATAATACCTTTCTTTTATCAGCTAACACGTTACTCTGTGCTGCTAATAAACAGGAAATGCATGTCAGTTTAGCCTTTGACAAATACCAAGGAGGTGAGTTTTCTTTTTCTTTCCTCAGGTGCTGGACTAACCAGTCTCTTTTTCTAACTGCTACACGGTAACAGCACCCACTGCTGACAGCAGCACGCAGTTGTCTGACAGGCACTAGGCTGTTCGTGTTCCCGAGCTCTGTCAGGTCAGGTTTCTCAGTCATCCTGAGAAACAGATTCAAACAGGCAAGAAGTTATCAGGAGTCTTTAGGGGGGAAAAAAACCCAAACCAACAAAAAACTCCCCAAAGCCTCTGTCCAACCAAAAAAAGTAGACCACAAACAAACCATCAGCCATCTGCTTGTACAGTACTTAGTTTTTCAAAAGGAAATCCAATTGCAGAAATGAACACTTGACCAAAGTCATGCTGCAAAGCCAGCACCTGTAACACGGTTGCTCTAGAAAAGAAATAATAAAAAAGTAGTTTTATGTAAATTGTATTTTGTATACTAAAAAAATATGAAAGCAGATCTTACAACAGAATAGTACAAATTTTCCTTTCAATATTTATAAGGCAAAAGTATTTCACTGAAGTGTAGCTGAAGTCTTGTTAGATAGCAAAAGGCATATGAAATATCCTTGTGTGTTTTGGATATGTTAGATATATTAATATGGGAAATTTTCAGTTCTTCTATATGTAAGTGATAGTGTCAATCTATAAAATAACTTGTGTAACGCTTTATGGTTGCCTTTTGCAAAGGATTCACAAGTATATTTACATTAGATTGCTCTTTTCACCTTTGTGAATATATGGTTCATCTGAGCGTTAGATTCCTGTGGAGATGATATATTTGAAATGTATATCTCTAAGAGTAATATATTTTAATATTACAGATTTAGAAATGGCCATTGCCTACTGGAATTTAGTACTTAATGGAAGATTTAAATTTCTAGACTTGTGGAACAAATTTTTGTTGGTAAGTTAAATCTTTACATAAACTGGGCTGCAGTATTTTCAAAACCTGGAAGATAAATATGTTTAAATTATTGAGTAGATGAAATAGACTGTTTTGACCCAGATCCCAGATACTGCACTTCACAGCATGTAAAAGACAAATATGTTTGGGGGATATGGATGTGTCCAAGATAGTAAAAATGAATGTGTATAAGGGTTTTTAATTTATTTTTTTAAAATATTAATTTTTCAACCCTCCAAACAGGAACATCATAAAAGATCAATTCCTAAGGATACCTGGAACCTTCTTCTAGACTTTAGTACAATGATAGCAGATGATATGTCTAACTATGATGAGGAAGGTAAACATTTCCATTTTCTTTCATTGACTTCTAACTGTGTTTTATGCTACGTTTATTACTGTGTATCTGCTTTGCACAACTGCCTAATAACAGCATAATTAGACTGTCATTGGTTACAGCTTCATATTTGAAGGTTACATTCATATTTGTCCATTTAAAAACTACAGATTCTCTGTCAGGGCAGTTGGTGGCATCTTCAGCTAAGTAACTGATTCATGGCCTGTGCATTTCTTCGTAGGATTCTCTGGTTATTGCATTTCTTTGCTGAGAGTATTTTTTAAGTTTGGTTGCTTCCGTTGGTGTGAAGATTGGACATGAAATAATATGAAAGCGAAGCTGGCAGCATACAGGGATCGCTAAACGTGTTATTTCCTACCAAATGTGTTTCTCGTAAACTTTCGTATTGATCTTTCCTCTTCCAGTCCATCCGTAGCCAAGAACAGCTAATTACCTTCAGTCGTTGGCGGCAGAGCACTTCAGTGAGTGGAGGAAACTGTAAAATTCTGACACTTGCAGAGCAGAGGGGAGCAAACTTGTACAACTTCATCTAATAATTACGGACAGTTCTCATCCCCTTATCACTGAGCAATGTGCTGCTGCCCACAATAAATCAACGTAGTTTAGAAAGATTAACGGCAAAAAACATGTTTTAATGAGTTGGAATTAAAATATTTTAATGGGAAAAAACCCACAAACCTAACCCACAATTACTTTTAACCTTCATGTGACCATCATGCACATGCCTGGGGACCTCTTTGGATATGGCTGCCCATAATACACCAAATAGTGATATGCATTTTAACTGCCTTTTGATAAGGAATGCGGACGAGTATGTATAGAGCAATAGCAGCCCTCCAGGCCATTATTGCTGGCTATCAGAGTGCATTTTGCTGTTTCCAGGTATGGCCAAGTATGCCGATTGTAACTGATGCGTGTTGCATTCATGCAAAATCCTAGTGTGAGTAGTAAACACTGTAGTACGTTACAATACGCTGCTGCTTACAGCATAGACTGCCTCATCCAATTTCTTGAAGTAGCTACTGCCATCTTGGAGGTCAAGTTTGAGTTCTGGTGCTGAAACCAGCACAGTTTTAAGCTGGAATGCTTGTCAGCTTTTTTCTTTTACTTTTTTTTTTTTTTGTCAGGAAGATGAAGGAAGTATAACCCTTGAAAGAGATGTGTATTAACTGGGTTTGAAGGAATTAAAAACCTAGAAAATAAAATTACAATTTTTGGCTTGAAACTATGTCTATTTAAGACTGGAAAGTAAATAACTTGTTTGGATCTGAAGCTTTAAAAATAATTCCTTGTTGAACCAAGTTCTTACGTTCTGGTCTTTTTTCCCTTTTAGGTGCATGGCCAGTTCTTATTGATGACTTTGTGGAATTTGCACGCCCTCAAATTGCTGGGACAAAAAGTACGACAGTGTAGCACTAAAGGACCCTTCTAGAGTGTACATAGTCTGTACAAATACCTGAAATGGAAAATTGCACAGTCAATTTCTGCTGGCTGGACTGAACTGAAGATCAATCCTCACAATATGGCTGAGGGTTGAGACAAACCTTTAAGGATACATCTTGGACCGTATCATATTTCATTCTTCTACTGGTGGTTTGGGCTTTTCTTCTAGTCTGGACCACTCTTGCCCCTTAAAATTCCAACATTGTGGATTTCATCATGGATTTATTTCTTTTTTTTCTTGGTGGACCACCCTAGTTTCATCTCCCATCAGTCCTAGAAGCTTTATAATTATTTTGAGGTTTCTGGTTTCACATAAAGCACAATGCTAATCATCATCAGACAACTGTTGTATGGCATCTGAATTATACAGATCAACATCAAAACAATTTTTAAAAGAATCCTTAAATATACACTTGGGGCTAGTTGCAAAGACTGCATTGATAGCACTTCCTGTAAGAGTGATATATTTAAGTGTACTGGGTCCGATTAATTTTTTTTTTTCTTTTCTGGAAAAGTACAGGTATCGTCTAAGTGAGTTTGAGTATCTGGTAAAAACAATTACAGAATTAACCAAGACAACCTGAGGTTGTTGATACTGGGGTATCTAGGTGCCTATCGGAATGGTTTGATTGTACATCAGCTGACTGTGAGAACAGTTGGAGTACGACACAACTACTGTGCACTTAAAGCACCCATGTTTCATGTTATAGTCAGCCTTCAGCGAGCGTCGTCGAGATAAGCTGCGTGCGTCACGATAGAATCTAATATTCTCTAGGTTATGATCTAAGAAATCAGGTTTCATTACAGTTTTGAAATGCTTATGTCTGTAAAAGAAAGGTTTTTCATTTCTGTGGAAATCTAAAACTTGAATATACTGAATTTGTGTCTTAAACGTTTGCTACACAAGACAGTATTTTAAATTGAGAGATAGAATTTTGATGGTTGAGGTATGGTGAAACAAATGGCCCTGTTGTACAAGAAGCTGGTGAGCTGGACGTGAATCAAGGTTTCAAAACCGTTATCCTGAGAAGTAAGTTAAAGCTTTATAACACAGAGGTACTGCCATTATGGATGACACCCATTTTTTAATTATTTTGTTGAGTTTTCCTTCAATTGACATATCACTGTGGTTGCCAAATACAGAAATTAAGAGTAAAGCGTTCCCAAACAAGCACAGGTCAGATAGATCTAAACTACTACACTGGCTTTGTTTGCTTAAATTATTTTATTGATCCATCACTACTTCTTATTGTCTTATTGCGTTTAACTAAATCGATTTAGTTTTGTTCAAAACAGGTTTTACCAGATGCAATTCTTATTTTTAATACTACAAGAGCTCTTGAGCTGCTTTTGTGCTAAACATGGTCTTTTACTCCTCACTGAGTTACTTGTGAAGAGATTTGATAAATACTACTCTGTAAAACAAGCTGGAAAATACCAAGCTCCAGGAGAAAAGACAGACTGTAGTTACAAATAAGGATGGAGGTTTAAGTCCATGCTTCGAATAGTCCCATGATAAGGCCAGAATTATTTTTGAAATGAGTAATTGGTACTTGCACTAAACAGCAGAACACTTCTTTGCAGAGGCTGAAAGTATTTTAGTAAAAAAATAATCACTCTTAAACTGCTAAAACCCCTTTTATTTGTACTTGCTGAGGTTGACCATAAGGCTGGCTCCCCTTACAGCAGTGCCGTTTTAAGAAAAACCAGTTGTGTGTTTATTTCAAGAATACAGTTCCACAAAAACATTGCTAACTTCCTCCAGCTACTGGAATTGGCTATGCCAAAAAACGACGTGTGTTTTGCTGCTTTCAGTATTTCCTTTCTCAATTTTGTGTAAATATAAATGGGGACTTGAACTTACGGGGGAGGGTGGAAAAAAAGCTCTACACGGTATCTCTGCGTGCTGTTTTCTGTCGTGAGGGTTTTGGTACAGATCCAGATTGATTAGTTCAAGTATGCTGTGTTTGGAGAGGAGAACTGACTTGCTTTTTATCCCAATATAGACTTGTCTCTCAAAGAAGTCGGAGATTGGGTAGTGGCGTAATGCCGTGGTGTTTTAAAGAATATTCCTTTTGAATGCAAGATCTTTCCAACAAAATAGTATTGTCATCAGTTTGGTACTACACGCTTATAATTACTGTGTAATTATAAAGAAATGCATAAAACTTTGACTAATTATGTTGCAGAAAGGGGTTATTTGTGCTATGATGGCATCTTAAAAAGTTTTTCAAAATGAGTGACTGAAGTGGAAAGAAACATTGATTTAACAGGGTGTTGTTCCAAGGACAAAATGCCTGGTTACAGGGAATATTTTGTATTGAAACGTGCTCAGATGTGGCCATGTGTTTTTCCTTTATATATGTGTGTGTTTTTTCTTTTTTTGTAAGAATGCAGACAGTTGCTTACTTGGATTGCTTTAATTCGTAAGTGCTTACTTCTTCAATTTGATGATCTCCCCTTAAATGGATCAATTTAATTTTGCCAAATGTCAAGAACAAAAAGGCGGCGAACATCAAGTTTGTAACCTGTTTTTATACATTAAATATGTACAAAATTAGAAGTGCCCTGATATAAAACACTTAATCTTGAGAGTATATTTAGTAAAAAAACCCATCATTTACATATCTCTGTAAGTTCAAATGTAATGTCTTACAATCCCTCTCATTACCAACAGAGGCAATAAAGCTCCAGTGAAATTGCCATGACTAAGTCTTCTCATGCATTGTTTCAGTGTATTATTTGTAAGACTTGCTTCTGGAATGTGCTTTTAAGCAGGGAGGAAAAAAGTGTGGAATACTTGTCTTCTGCATAAAATACACTTTATGGGTAAGTCTCTTTTTGGGGGGAGGTGGGAGGAAGAACTGCTGCAACACCTTGCTTACTGCTTGTTCTAAATGCTGAGAAGTACAAAATGGAGCTGATCTTTTCCAGCGGTGCTGCGGTGGCGTTACCTGCCATGTGAAGGAAGGCACCAGGCGCAGGGCAGTTGTTCAGGTATGGCTGAAGACTATGGCACACAAGTAATGTGACTTTTTATTGATCAACCTGTTAATAAGTGATTTATGACTTGCTTCAAAACTGTTTTACAATGAAACACTTACAGAGAAATCCTTATTTAAGAAAGATACAATTTTTAAGAATGTATTTAATAAACTTTTGTCATTCACACTTTATTTAAATAATCTTGCCAGAAGTCTCTGTAGATTTTATTTGATACCTTGACTGTGTTTGGGCTTTAAAGCTGTGGTGCCCATGAGTCCTCTTGAGTCTGAGGGAGGAGACCGCGCCATTAAACACGTGATGAAATTACAACCTCAGCTGTAAGCAGTAGGCCTGAGCTCTGTACCTCTTAGCTGACTGCTTCAGCACCAACACGTAGGAGCAGCTGCATGAGGGAACACTGAGTTTTGCTCCTGACAGTTTAAACAGGCATCTGGAACTCTGGACATTCACACTGCTACGAAAATCAACTCCCTGCTTCTGAAAGTTCTTCCACTAACTTGTCTTCAGGTTCTAAATTTAACAAAAGCTGCCTAGCTGTAACTTGAATGTTTTACATGAAATTAAAACTGTTTCCTTTCCAAACTCAATTCGGTCTTCAGAGTATAAAATTTCAAGCCCTCTTCCTTTGGGGAGTTCCAAGGAGAACTGGAAGGAGTCCAGGAAGCCTGTGAGATGACGGAGCTGTAAAGATCATGGGGAAAGGACAAGGCTGTGGCTGGGCAGCCAAGGGACCTCTCAGTCATGTTTGCCATTGAAGAAAGAGGAATGAAGCCCATGCTGGAATTCATCAGTGACCAAATCTCATGGTAGGCTCCATGCTGAGCTTCAGCTCCTGGAGGGACTCCCTTACACACATGGGTGTGTATAGATAGAGCTGTGTGTGTTTTGTGTATAATGTTAAGTTTTTATATTCCTTACTGGTGGACTTCTCTCCAGCCTGACAAGGCAGCAAGGTGAAGCCCTAAGTGCTCTCTGCACTCATGTGAATGCATCTGTCATCACACGCGCGCGCACGCACGCACTCCCTGGGAATGTGTCTAGTGTGTCTTCAGCCTTGCTACAGAATCAGCCTGGGTACACAGAGCAGCAAGCCTCACTTTTCCCTGGCATGTTTTCCTCTAACACTTAGAAATTAAAACACTCACACAGCTAGAAGTGAAAATTTTATTTAATAAATATAATTTTCATAAACCACTTTTAAAACAACTTCTACTGACCAAGCTGTACAATGAGCAAGCACACAGACTCGCTGTCAAAGAATCAAAAATAACATGAGGCAGCCACAGTGTCAGAGGTCCAAAATTCTTTGTACTAATTATTGCTACAGTTTCCAGTTGTCAATGCCCCTTATTTGCCTAAAATTAAGGATCAACATCTTCAAAAGGGTACTTCTTGCAGAGACAGTATCCTTCAAATTTTTCTTCAAAAAAAGAAGCAGAACTTGATCCCACTTCAGTGAAAAAACAGGAGGCTAGATGACGTCTTGTTATTTTTGTGTGCATAAGACTAGAAAAATCTCTCACGGGAGCGTAACTAGGAATTGTAAAAATATATTCTTTGCTGCATTCTTATCTACATCTGAAAGTGAGTCTCTCAACTATTTTCCCTTTTCTAAACTATATGCCCTATGAATTATCTTTTATCCCATTGCCAAAATATAAAAAGATTAAGAACCTGCTGATGTATGAAATAATTTCCTTTAAGACTGCTGAGGAAAAAATACTATACGCTACAGGCCATTCAGGTGCACTTGAGGGTTTCTTCCAGGCAAGTCACACTTTGTGTCACGAACAGCAGTGTATTTCATTGCTTTCTGCTTCCAGTAACATGCAGAGGTCTTTAGCCCATGGCCCCTTGGGTTTCATTCATGCCTGTGCATTTATACAAACTGGAAACAACAACAAAAAGTCATATCTACAGTGATGACAATTGCATGTACTTATTGTAATACAACACCACAGCCGGGCGACAGCTAGAGCAAGGCGAATACGTCGGAGTGATGAGAACGTTCCGTTTAACGAAAGCCACAGCAGCCCGGGCAGCACACAGTCTCTCCACTGAGTTATTTCTGATGCCACTACGAGCAGTATTTAGCTGAAGGAACAAAATCTATGGAAAGCAGAAGCCTTGCAAATACCGGTGCGAGTGCGCGTCTAAGACGACTGACGGCGAGAGCTGATACAGCCATGAGCATCCAATCTTTCCTCCTCCTGTTCATAAACTGAGTCATTCCCATAGAGAGCAGAAACCAGACAAATCATGCCACTGGAAGCAAACAACGTACAGAACTATCAACAATAAAAACATTCACAGAAAAAAACAGATCTGCAAAGAAGAAAGTCTGACTGGGAAGTAATTTGGGAACAGAAGAAAGGCTAAAATAGGTCCATGGTGAACAGTTCACCCAGCTCTAGGAATAACTCCTTTAAACCAACGGCGTCTGTGTAACAAGGCAGCGGCGCGTGCAGCGAGGGTGGCGTGAGGGTTATTGGCTATTCTACACCAAGAAAACAAGAATCTCAAACTAAACGGTTCAGAAGCACACTACAATTGAGCACTTTTGAACACTGAATTTCACCAAAATCACTAATACTTAGAAGTATAGAAGTGTCAGACAAAACTATTAAAAATAATGTAGACTACAGCTTTGAGACATTTTTAACACTAGAAAATGAGATTTTTTTTTCCAATATAGGTTAGTTATACTGTCATAAAAAACCACACGGATTTAAGTATTACCAAAGGCTTCCAGTAAGAAATTATAGTTGCCTAATACGCATTCTAAGTTGCATAATCTTTTCTCAAATCATCTTTTTCACTAGAAAACAAGAAATCATTCTGAAAACGTAAAGCTAAAGTTTTCAGCATTCGTTTCTTTGCATTTATTTGTTCCCCCTCCCCCCTATAACCTTAAAAAAAGATACAGAACATTTTAAGCAGAGTATGTACATTTTAGTTTGTGAAACAATTCAGAGCATCTTCCCGCTTAATCCTTCCCCCTGCACCCTTTAAAAAGCGTTAAATTTGGCAACTAAAACTACGTTTCTAAGTAACACAAATGAACCCTATTTTTCAGAGACCAAGAACTATAAACTGCTGAGAACTCAGTCCCCTTCTGAAGGTGGCCATGGAGAAGGTGCTTCTTCAGAGACACTGCATAGTAAAGTGACTACACACCACTCTTGCTTTTAACCAAGAACATCTACTATAGGCTTTTCTGCTCTATGTTACAGATTTCAAGGCTAAGAGGTAATTCCAAAACATCTCCTCTCTCTGGCAAACCCCCCCTCACCCATTCCCTCTAAGTCGGAGATAAATGCCAGCTTTACGCTGAATTAGCCATATTTTGCTCAGTCTTCTTCATGAGGAATTCTACACTGTACCCAATGTGCAGTGAATGGTTTCATACACTTTAGCTGTCAAACAAATACACAAAATCTTTCTTTCTTTAATAGAAGCAATTTTAAAAGATTTGTGACATCAGTACAAAAACACAGTCACTTCTTCCATCCAAAATACTTGTCAGACCAAAAGATCCGGTCTTACGCACACCGTTTTACGTTCTTACTAAACAAGAAACGACCGATTTAGATTTACTGCAAATAGAAAAATATACCTTGGCAGACAGATGGATTCTTAAGCTCTTCCTGAACTGTTTAAATGCATGTTTCTTCGGTAACCTTACAAACACTGGGAAAAGGGAAAGCAGGAGGGAAAGGGAGGAGATGGAAGGTTTTAAGAAACATATAATGAAGGTAAATTATTCTTCAAATATAGGACTGTGCTTCTTTTGTGCAAATATAATTAACATTTGTGTGGTAAAAGCCAAAAATACATATACATATGGAGCTGAGCCAATATCTAAATGCTTGGAGCGGGGTCGTGCAAAGCCTCTGCCTTCTACTATAGCAGATTAACCAGGGTTTATATTTCAACACATGACACACTAACCACACAGACCAACACGGTTACACAGTCACACAAACTGACTGGATGATCAGGATGCTATGGTTGACATGGACAAACACGTACTTCCGAGAAGTGAAACACTGATTTAGATATAAAAGATACAGCTAAATAGCAGATATCTGATCAGAATATTTTAAAAAATTCTTTACTTCTTACGTATCCATGGCAGTATGAAGACACTTAGAATGCGAAACTACTAAGAAGATAATTATTATTTTAGAAACAGATTTAATGCTATATATATGATGTATAAAGTAAGCTACAGGAGCAGATGAAATCCAAGTGTATTTTGTTACTACTGCATACCTGAATAACAGTTCTCCTGGGGACTTGGAGAGATGACCATTCCACATAGGAACCAGGTTTCAAACAACATGCAGTCAGACGAGTCGCATATTAATTACTCCTATTACTCGGAGTATGCAAGATCAGAGTTCAGCAGTACCTTAATCATCCGGACACTCAGTGTGGGGAACCAGTGTACAACTGAAACTTTCGAGCCTAAGCTCCACTGCACTTCAGCACGTGAAGGCACGGTACGGATATGAACTACAAACACTGAATCAAGTACTTACTAAAAAGGAAAATTTACTATATTTTGATTTTGCTTCTTCTGTTTCATAATTCGTTTTGAGAGCTTCTTAATCAATTTGTGAACCGGTCTTCATCTATGCCAGTGGGACAAAATCCTCACATACTGCATATTCAAGTCAGAATGAGTTTCAAAACAAGGCTGCAATGACAGTTTCTTCACTACACAAACATTGCCTCGAGCAATGAGATCTTGAAAATCCAGCAGTATCTGCAGCTTTCAGTTTAGAGTGAAGCTTCCAGGCATTAATGCAAAAATAAAGTTCCAAGAGGAGAACTGAAATAATACCAGTTAAAGCCATGAACAAGAATCATGAGCAGCAGAACTGTTTATAGGTGAGGAACATCCGAAACATTTGATACAAGAAAAGTTGGAACTCTTTTGAACACTTCTTCTCCTGCACCTCACTGAACTCAGGAGAATTTGGGATAACCATAACAAGAGGGACATACTCCTCTGGCAGTGGCCCAGGTGCCACTGAGATGTCACACCAGGAGGGGAAGATGTGTCTGCCTGAATGATGAAATTAAAAAAAAAAGTATTTGCCATGTAATTTTCTCGGGAGATGGCACTTAGGCCAAGAGCGGACACCTGTGCAGGCAGAGTGAAAGTAGCTAACAGTGGTTAGCCACATCTTTATTAAAGTTCTTGTAGGTGTTATTTATGGCCTGTGTTTGATTTACCATTCATTCCACCCAGAGGCAATTTTAATATGCAGCTTAACATCTACTGACAGGAAGATTCTTCCAATTATTGACGGGGCTTCAGTGCCGGAGACTGCCTTCCAATTAGATTCCCAAACAAGAGTCCAGCAGCAGTAGCATTTTTGCCAGGCTGCAGCCATAAAAATTGCCATACCTAAGGCAATGCTCTACAGATGTCCCTGGTGGCAACACCTCCCACATCTATAGCCAACCAGTATGTTCCATCACCCTCACTCAATGACCAGGCAAGTGTTGCTACCCAGGCTCAAACACGGAGACACATGGGACAAGAGGTACCGGTAAGATGTACCATTCGAGCTCCTTCTGTGCAATTTGTTTTTATTGGCATACTTGGGTATCAAAACATTGCCATCAATGTCTTGGATCCTTTCAGCTATATGAAGATAATTAAGTATTAATTGTATCTTCAAAGTACAGTATGACCAAATATGAATACATGAAAAAGAGTAAAACATGCAAAAATTCCCAACTTCAGAAGGATTAATAATTCAAAATATTTATGCTAGTGAGACTTCTGCACAATCCACCAATTCTTACCCATTTTTCCATGTCAAGATCAAGAACTGTTAACAAAACACACAGGGCATAATAAAAGATGACTGGCTTCCGATTTATGCTTTAAGAGAACAGTGAACTGTTATATCCCTTATTATTCCAAATTATTGATTTGTAAAAGTTGAGTGTTCTTCAAAGCAATGACCACCATATTGCCATTCATACACCAGCATAAATATTTGAACTCTCAAAAACTACTAAACTGATTGCTTATAGAATATAGTCCATGGAAATAACAAAACTGATTTGCAAACGGCTACGACAGCATCTGTAAGACAGCTCAAAATTACTGTGTGTGTTTAAAGTGAAGGGTCATCATGAAAAATGCAACTTTTGTTTTCACTTCGTTGTGCAAATTCAGTTCTACTGGATCACCTGAATTTGGGAGGAGAAATATTTTGTCACTGTGCTGCACTGATGTCTCAAGTATCAAATGCAGGATTCCAATCTGCTCATATGGTAACAAAAAATATTAAATGGTCAGAGGTAAAAGCGTTCCTTACAAAAAAAACCAAAAAAATTTAGCAATTTGTGGATATAATTAGAAAAAATATTGGAAGCAATTACTGTCTAGATGACTTACGCTGGGCCATAAGACAAGCCACAGTTTGTATTTAGAAGTCATGCTAGTCTTTTCTAGGGCAGAGATGTAGCACTGGACTCGCTTCAGAACCTACTATAGGTGTGTGAGCACCACATGGCTTCCACAAGGCATTTACAACTGTCCCTGTTAACAAGTAGGTGAGTCCATTGTGGAGAGAGTCAAGATGCTTCTGTCGTTGGCATAGAAGGGATCCGATGAACTCCATGATCTAAAGTAATAATAAAAGAAAAGTTTGGCTGACTGGCAACTTATGATCTGTAAGTAAGGAGAAAAGTCTATGAAAGCAAAAGATAAAGTGTTATGAGATTAGGCAAGTGTAACTCTTTAGAAGATCGGAACTAGATGATCTTTGAGGTCCCTTCCAACCCAAACCACTCTATGATTCTATGTAGGCACCTGCAATTCACTCCAAACCTCTGAAAATATACTGCAATTAATCATGCCACTTATGTGACTAACAATTCTACGTTTACCTTTCTGGCAAAGTTTACTCACAGCAACAGATATTTTCATCACTATGAACTAAGATGACCAGAGGTTTTTATGCCAGTTTTACAATTAAAATTTTAAAATTGTGCCTCGAGGAAAATCTGCATCTTGCACGTGTAAGTTCAGGCACTGCGAATGCTTCGATTTGATACAGCCTACGGTCATCCTGGTAAAGCCTTGTGGCATGCACAGCTAACCGTGGTAACCCAGTATATACTGGTGATCTCATGTCAAAAATCCATGCTGCCTAAAGCTGTGGGCAGGCGAAACTTATCTACAGCCATGCATCCACTATTTCATCCCTTACTGTTAAATTTAAGTTAAAATTTAAGGCATCAGGAAAACTACCTAACATGTCATCGCTTTTGATTCGGATGGGATTTCGTAATGTCTTTCTCTTAAGAACAGATTACTACTTATGAAGAAATACTGGTTTTGGTTGAAAAATATTATAGGACTATATGTGAAACGCTGAAAAACAGAAAGTTGGAAGGCGGGAAATCAAAATATAACGAACTTATCCTCTAAATTTGCCTCTGTCAGAAATCTGCTGTTTCTTTAGAACTTTTACATGTGGTGTCTAGACACAAGTACCACTAATGGGAGACGGAACAATTCAGTGATGAATCCTACTGTAAAAGAACGGATGTGATCCAACATTCTTCATGTTTTAGTGACTGACAAGTTGACAGACAATTTAATGGAACAGACAGACAAAAATGCATTTTATCATACCACAACATACATTTTATATTCTAACTGGTGACCGAAGCTATAGAAAATACTTCTTGAATACATTTTACAAGCAGGAAATTAAGTACAAGAGACTACACTCCTGCAGCCCCCTACTCCAAGCATTTGTACAACTTTGATTCATCAAAGTTTCTATCAAAATTTGATACGATTTGATTTCATGTTCAGTTATCATATTTGACAGAATATCAGGAGCACAGCATACAACACAAGGTAGCTACAGCAGCATCATTTATGATAGTGCTCTTCATTCTACAGCACTCAGTATTTACAAGCATCACTTCACTCAACAAAAGTAATTTGCAGCTACCTCCTGGTCAATTAAGAAGCTGCTTTATAAAGCACAAATACTCAAAAGACCATCCAGTTTGGGACTGTGCAACCTTCTGAAGATACCAGCTTTAGGTAAAAAAAAAATCAAAGCAGGTCAAGCTCATGAACAAGGCTAAACAATTTTACATTTTTAAATCACCAAATGGATTTCTTAACTGTGCCTTCAGCACTTCACAGCTTCTAACTGCCTGAAGTGATTTAAGCAATTAGTACATAAAAAAATAAACAAAGACTTTCACAGATTAGCAGGAAAGTGTAGGATGAAAAACAGTCTTAGTACCTTGACTTTTAGACTACATTTTAAGTGTCAGTGCTGAGTGGAAGGAACTGAAGTCATTGAACAAAGAAAACAAGATGGAAATTACAAGAATGTATTTTCTAGTTGTACTGTACATAAATTTAAGTGAAACTAGAAGATGGTTCAGAGTAATTTCAACCAGAGGCAGACGCAAAAACTACACAGCTTCAAGCCCTTCGTGTAGCACCAAGATAGTTTTGCATATTTATTAAACATAATACTAATTTGTGTTCTAACAACTCAAATTATTCAGCTAGATGGAACTTCATCTGAAAATTACATGAGGTAAGCAGACAAGAAATCTGAGAAAAAGCAGACTTCAAAAAGTGTTTAATATTCTGTCAAATATGAGTTATCTTCAATAAATATTTGTAAGTTCTTAAAGAAAGAAAAATTGAGTAGGAAAAAAGAGGAAATTGTAAAAATTCAAACGCATCGCAGAAAATAAAACACAGAATACCTACCTTATAAGACTACACGTTACTAAAGCAAATGTTAACTAAAAATCTGCCCTATTTAGATAACAACAAATGAAAAAAGTAGCATGAGAAGATCCTCATCTGGAAAGTACAGTTTTACAGAGAAATGGAAAAAAACAAACAAACAAAAACTCAGAGCAACTGCTACCAAAATGCTGATTTTTAGACCAATTAAATGCTCACCTTGTAGATTAAAAATTCTATTAAATTGTTTATTTTATACATCATGCCCGCCTTCTATACAGCAAGAGTTTGCATTTAAAATGTACTTAATCATAACAGTTCATTTTTCATATGGAATGATACATTTTGCATAATCATACCCTAGATTTGTATAAACGTTGAATAAATTTCATAAGCAAGCCAGAAGAGAGAAACTGACTGAAACCACAGACGCTGCGTTCAACACAAGAGTTGGACAGAGAGATGTACTACGTACCAAGTCAATTCCTAAAGGCAGAATCAGAACTGACAAGGCTTGTCAGTGAAAGTTACCCACGCAGGATTTCATACCGAGTGAATGATATCACAACCTTTAACCGAAAGAGACAACTTTCTTCAAATACAAAATGAGTTTCTTTGAAAATGTGTGAAGTGCAACTTCTTCAGCTTTGCCTTTTGACCAGTGAAGGACCATGATATCATTCAGGGACGGAGAGATTACGATGTACAAAAGACTATTTGTATTTCTACCCCCAAATATTTCCATGTTTGTTAGCTAGCCCTCTTTATTTGGAAATGGGGAAATGGCACATTAGCAGATTTAGTAAGAGCTTTTCTCACAGTTATGCTGACTGCAAAAGCAGTATTGCTCCTTAGATGCATTCCATCACTCTAACGTGCTTTTGTTCCATTGAGGTTTGTTTCACACATGGTTTGTGAAGGAAAAAGATTTATTTAGCACATACTTTGGAATGGCACACATGATTTTGACAATTTACCTTCTAGAACCAAAAAAAAAACGTTTAAAATTATTAGAACTGAAGGCTCTGTTCTGTCAATTGCTCTGATTTTAGAAATAGATTATAAAAGTTATACTACAAAAATATTTCATCTTCATATCAATCAATGGCTGAAAGATTTAAAGACTCTCCTTCTAATAATAAAGTTACATTTTAAGGGGGGGAGTGTGAGCCTTTTGTATATCTTCAGGAGTAATGTAAGCTCCAAGGTAAATATTTGGAGGTTGTACATCAAGAACCAAAGGGAAAAGTCTTTTGACTTTACAAACAACTCCTGATTTGTGAAGACAAAAAAAAAAAAAACTCATAAAAAGGAGAACAAAATCAGCAGCAAGGCTTGATTTTCTAAAAAGAAGTATGTACAAATCAAGAGAAATTACGATAGATACAACACAAGGACTTGTAGTAAGCCAAACTAAAAGTTTTAACAGAAATCTTTTGGAAACTTTTTCCCCCTCCTCATCCCAAAAGAAAGCACTCAAAAAGAAACAAGAAACTAATCTTTTAGGATGGAAAAAAGTACATTAAAGAGTTGCATTTCCTACTTAAATAAGCAAAACCTGCAGCTGGTTTGCTAGACATCTATTGCTGCAGGCTCATCAGGTTCCAGTTTATAGGAGAATCGTCTGCAGCAAAGGCTATTGAGAGAAATGCCACACCTGTTGACCCGGGTTGGACTACATCTTCCCATTAGTCGTTCCAGCATTCTTCTAACAGATGTGCATGCTGTTTCCCCATCTGAGAAGCAGCACATGGAGTCCAAGCAGTTGATACCTGAACCTGCCTCAGTAAGCTGGAAGAAGGAAATAAAACAATAAAAATAATCAGTACTCACAGATTCTAGCAATGAAGAAGTTATCAGAAAACACTTAGGAAAAGCAGGTTTTCTTAAAGTTAGAGTGTTGAATATTTTTCAATTTTATAGGAGAACTACAATGATTAATAACATCACCATTTCCCTTCATAAGGTCTGTATTCACTAAAATTTCATCTTCGAGGTTTGTGCACAGCCTTGGTGAGCATATGGAAATCGTTTAGCACTGTCTCTGCTTAACGTTGGAAACAAACTGGCTAGCAATTCCGTGTTACAGCTATAATGAATCTCCGGAGGAAAGTGTCATGAAGTTTAAGCTGTGATGCCTTGGTTAACCTCAGCGGAGGCACTACAATTTACACAAGCTGCAGGTCTGCCCTGTTTTAAGGGAAATCTAACAAGAGAAAGCTTCAGACCACGGCTGCAGAACACAGTGCAGCAACCTGATCATAAGTAAAAATTTTTCCTCAAGAAGTGTAGGATGCAACTTCCTATAATAATTTCCATTATGTCACTACCATAGATACCCTTAGCTTGGTAAGGAACAAAAGCACATTCCTGATTTTGTGAATATCTTTTCTCTAAATGCAAACAAGGCTGATGTTAGAAAGGTTCAGTCACATTCATGCCAGCATGAAGAATAATTCAACGTTAGGATAATAAACTTTCTACTGGTCATTCTTAGCAGGTGAGAAAAAGACCCAAACAAAATGAAAGTAGTAATAAAGAGATATATGGGTTTAAGTTAAGTGCCATCTATCAGCGTGCTCCTCTATATTATTTTCGCACACTAGTCAACCACAGCATAACTGAAATCTAACCGAAATCTAGCACTGCTGGAAAGAGAATATCCAGAACTCTCTTCACTATCCTTTCCAAAGGCAATAAAAATGTGGAGTGAGATGCTTTTTAATTTAATTTGAAACTCTCTATGAGAGCATCCTGTCAAACAAAGGCCGAACACACAGACTACATTTAAGCATCCATTATCCTCAGCTCACTCTCAGACACCAGTGAATGAGGAAATCTGGGAGGAGGCATCTTAGTCTATGACAGGACAACAGTTCACTTCAGAGCTTTCCCCAACTTTTCACCACATGACCACAGCTGGTGTTGTCTAGAGACTTTGGTTTCCAACCCCAATTTCTTTCATGTCACCCACACTTGACCAACACTGCAAATAAAGCAAAGAACCTCAGAGTTTCCTATGGGAATGGTTTACTATGAGTGGACACATTCCTTCTTAATCCCCCAAAACAGGCAACTGGACAGATTACAGCTTCATAACAATTCCTATAGTACCAAGAAGAGGCAGCCAACAGAAACAAGAGGCATTTGGAAATCCAAGAGAAAAATCCCAACTGGTAGGGCAAGGCAGGAGCACACAAGCAGAACTGGTGCTCCCTCCCATCTTTTCCTGGGTCCCTTCCTCAGCTCTGTTCCCCATTCCCCATGGACCCTCCAGATCTTCCCGTCGCACCGCTTAGTGTGACGCTTATAGGACTGTCAGTTAGCAATCCTAGGAACTTACAGAAAGCATTACAAACTGCAACCCTTGATTCAGTCGCTGCACCTCTGAGGCCATGAAGGAGCGCAGGCAGAACACATACTTCTGACTAACTCGCACTCATTTGGCAGGTCTTCTGGACACAAAACGAACATTTACTGTGACAATGAACAACTATAAATATCCAACAGGCAGGAGCAGAAGCATTGCAGCTGACAGGTCTAGAAGGGGTTTTGGTTAAAACAAACCCAAAACAAAACACACCTCAGAACCTGAGTCCCTGAACGCCCTTATTTGATGGCCATCACATCTGGTCAGAATCGTGCTGTCACAGAAGATATCCCAATGAGGAACAGCGCAATCTGCAGCACTGCACTGTTAGCAGATATGACCTTCACCGCAACTTCACACTGTGCTCACAGTGTACCAGATAAGAAATTACAGAGAGCAGAAAGAATTCCTATTGGGAGGTCAGAAAGCAAAATCCCTTCTGCATATGCAGTCAACTTCACAGCCGTGTTCACAGCAACACAAAACAAAACTCTCACATAGAATCATAGAATCGTCTGGTTGGAAGAGACCTTCAAGATCATGGAGTCCAACCATTCACCCTACACTGTCAGGGTCCCTAAACCATATTGCTCAACACCAAATCTACACAGTTTTTAAACACCTCCAGGGATGGGGACTCCACCACCTCCCTGGGCAGCCTGTTCCAATACTTCACAACCCTCTGTAAAGAAATTTTTCCTGATATCTAACCTAAATTTCCCCTGGCGCAACTTGAGGCCATTCCCTCTCGTCCTGTCATTCATAAAGTGGGAGAAGAGACCGACCCCCATCTCCCTACAACTTCCTTTCAGGTAACTGTAGAGAGCGATAAGGTCCCCCCTGAGCCTCCTCTTCCGCAGACTAAACAGTCCCAGCTCCCTTAGCCGCTCCTCATAGGACAAGTTCTCTAAACCCCTCGCTAGTTTTGTTGCCCATTCCTACACTTAGGATTTCAAAAAGAATACTCAGTCCATTCATTCTCTTGAAGTGGACCAAGCAACACCTTTAAAGTTACTGGAAAAGGTCATATTACAGTGATGTCAGATGGACCAGACTTTTTTTTTTCCCCAGAATCTGCTGACTTTGCAAGCTAGCAGCCCTAGATACTATTCAAAGTCTGGCAGAAAGAGGAACCAAGAGTAACCCAAACTAGCTTTCACGGAATGAACTCTCAGCTTCGGATTTTGGAGGGCTGGTGTCTCCCTCTTCTCTACAATCCTTTGTTCTTTTCAAGTTAGGTACACAAAAAGCTAGGATCATACTTGAACCATGATTTATGAAACAACATTTATGTTTTATCAAACTCACAGTTAAATGTAAAGTAATATTGGGAGATCATTAAGGACAACATAAATACAAATTCAATGTTATGTGTAGATATATTGTATGTATATCACTGCCTAGTGAACATGGATTTTTATATTTATATGCACTACCTGGAAGGAAGATATTTATATTATGCTAAATAGTTCCTTTTCTCACTTTTCTCTCTGTGGTAGACAATTATGATCATAGTTTTATATTAAAGTAAAATGTGGCATGGTAAGGCAGTAGAACATAACGGTCTCTGAAGACCTGAAACAAACCCTCAGGAAGTCAAAGGCAGGAGAGACAATGCTTTAAAAAAAATTACTAAGTACAGAGAAACATCGGATATTATTCATATTCGGGCTGCAAATAAAGTATTTTCATTAGGTAAGATCTAGGATCAAATAAACATAATACTTCATATGATAATGGCTCATTTCATGTAAGAAATCAAAAAGCAACTGAAGCGCACAATTAAGGAATGATTCGGCTTGAAAAGGAAAAAATAAAACCCCACAAACTATGATGCAAATTTTCTTGCAGATATCAAAAATATGGGTATTTTGGAGATGGCTCCATGACTGTCTATATATGATATATATAAATGTATATATACACACACATTAGGGTAGAGTGGGAGTACTACCTAGTGAACGTAAGAACTGTCGGGTAGGCTAGATGGATCTAGCAGTTGCCTATTGTCCTCCCCTCTGTGCCTGCTTTCAGCAAAGTCACATGCTGAGCTGACTGAACCCTTATCTTCTTCCATCTAGAAGGACAGAAAAGCAACAAATCTTATAAAGCACCATGCTTGCATTGCTTTAAAACAGTTATCATTTTTATATGAACTTTCATTTTACATGTCTGTTCTTGAGGGAACAAGGCATATTCATAAGGTAAAGACGCGATTGTTTTACAAGTTAACTGGTGGATCAAACACGGTTTATCAGTGCACAAGGACCAGAAGTGTTCAGTGTTTCTGTGCACCACAGACTACAAAAAGGGAAAGCACAACACATTTTAAAATCTATTTCAGATTTTCAGGTTTTGGAGTTTTACTCGTTCTCCCCTTCTAATAGAAAGCTTGTTTGTCTTACTACAAGGTATTCAATACGCTACAAGACAGACATTTCAACTAAATGTTTAATCACACTGAAATACACAGCTGGGATTTAGCTGAACAGGAAACGTATTTAATCCCGTACATCAAGTTAAGAGCACTGCAGCATATTTTCCAGAGCCCAGATCCTGACTGCCAACATGTCTGATGCCACACAGACATTTCAGAAAATATATATGAGATGGCTATTACAATTCCCCAATTAGGTTAAAGCTTGCTCCCTACTGTAAAGCTCACTTTCTTTAACCCTTAATATACTGTATACCAAAATCCCAAACAATCAGATTTAAAATTTTAAAAGAAAATATAAGAATGTGGACATCTAACAACTTCACAATGTTTTCAACATTTTTCTAGTTTTTCTACTCTTCATCTCTTTGAATCAAGTAAACCTACAAATGCCAAATGGTTTTGTTATTTCAAAGTCATTAGACAAGAGTATCATCAGGTAAACACATATGTGCGCTTTTGTGACTGAAGATAAACACAAAACAGTCTATTCTTCTCTCAGTTATTCCTTCTTCCTGCGATAGATTCTGTGGATTAGCTAAGAGATCAGCACCACACTATGGCAACACAATACACAAACCTGTAAAGGAAAAGAGTACCCTTGTTCAAAGTTTGGCATATTAAGATGTTCTGGTATAGCTTACTAGGGCAAATGTCTTCTTGGAAATGATACGTTCCTTACAGAAAACATATGCTGTAAAAGGAACAGAAACCTGTCTGTTCTCAACTTCTACACAGATGGGCTGGATCAGATATGAAAGCTATTAGGAGGGGAATCCTATGAAACAGTAACTAGAGGAAATAAAAAAAAAACAGAGACAAGTAATGAAGGCCATAAAGCCAGGGCCAGGTGTCTGGAGTTCTGGAGACAGCTAAGAAAGCAGATCTGTACAGAGATGAAGGGAAAACAAGGCAATAATAGACTCATGGGCCTGCAGATGGGGAAAGAAGAGGGTTTTGGCTGTGCTAAGGCAAATGCCACAG